ATGAACTGTCTTGATTTCATAATCTGAAAGTTATGCTCTTAGTTGCGAAAAGCAATTTCAAATGCCAAACTGCAGGTTGACAATGAACACACATGTAACCATCTTATATATGCATCTATAAGGGGTTCACATGATAGGTGAATGGGCCCATATTCACCTTTTATATATTCCAGAATTCAGGGGTCTTAGTCTCAACTTTAGCCGGTATAACTAATTTATTATGAGAACAAGCAGCACAAGAGAATTCTTGAAGAATCTTCTGGTTCTTCAGTATATGCTTATCAGAATTCTCAAATAGCTCATCTGAAAATGGCAAATGAAAACTTCAAGTTTATCATGGCATGCGCTATCTCTTAGTAAACTTCTAGTTTACTATGGCATAAACTTTTGCATTAGTAAACTTCTGATTTACTATGATACATGATGTAGTACAAATTGAAGATATAAGGGGGTAACTTCTCATATACATATTATCTTACCCCCTATGATTGTGAAAACGTGAAGATTTTTAATCTTCCAATCATTTGTAGTCTCAATATAATAGCCAGTTGTATTAGTAAACTTCGGGTTTACTACAACATAAGTTTTGACCACAATCATATAATATGAAGACAAATTTGCATATAAGCTCTTTGGGAGCCTTCGATAATTTTGTACTACCAAATAGTGCTCAGACACTTCCTGTGTCATGAGAGAAAATCATAATCAAATTGACAATATAAAGACAATCTAAATTTATAAATGTAAAAGATTAAGAATTTAAGTATTTTTACCACCAACTTTGTGACAAATATCTCCTTCAGGGAGAAACGCCATTAACATCTGAATATTTTATATCAAAGCGGTAACCACATAGTCATTACATCCTTCAGGTAAAGATACATGAGTTGGTATTTCGGGGAACTCGATAACTAACTATAACATATTAATGTGGTTGTAGTAGAAAGCATTCTACAAGAATACTTTTGCCTTGGAATGATATTTAATAAAAAAATTCAAGATATTTTACGTACAACGGGTACGTGCTACAATGATCTTTATGCCACAAAAACAAGATTTATATCCTTTGTTATTCTACCTCTTCAGGAGGTGAGTTGTGTTATTTCTTCATTCACTCCAGGGAATGAAAATGTGCTTTAAAAATAACTTTGAATAGCTTATTATTTTGTTTAAGCACGGAAAGACACAGTTTCATAATATTTTTCTTGTTCAGGAGAAAATTTCAATTGTGTTACTTCTTCAGGAGCAAAATTGAAATACGAAATATTGAGGATATATTCCCTCAATCATATTACCTCTTCTGGAGGTGAATTGTAATATATTCATATCAAAAGCGCGTTCATATTTACGAGCTTTATTAATATTGTCACATTCACTTCAGGAATGGATTAATATTTATCAAAAAACTTCATCCTTCAGGGAACGGAACATAATTATTTGAACGTGCATTAATCACACCAAGTTGTGTGACGGCTTAGAACCTCTTTTAAGATATTGCTACTTTAGGAGCTAATCGAGGCATGCAAGTAATATAGAGAAATTTTCTCTAACTCATCTTCAATTGTAACCATAGAAAGCCTAAATTATCACTTCTGGTGGTGCTAGGCATATACCACTTCTGGTGGTTAACAAAATTTAGTTACAATGAGATATACAAAATATAACCACTTCTGGTGGTTAGATATTTCTTGCAAACTCTGCTGGAGTTTAAGTGGATCTAACAGTGTTACCCACTTTATAATCCTTTATTAAGATAATTAGGATGGCGAAAATAAATACCAAAATAGGTACTATATACGTAGCATATAACCAAGCAAGCGATGATAAAGATATTAAACCAAATATAAGCAAAAGACTCAAGTTACTTTACACAAATTTGGCCACTCCAGACATAAGTGATATCCACTTCTCTACCGCCAAGAAGAAAGGCTCACCACCTCAAGGGTATAATATGCCTTATGATGCTCGGAATGAACAAGATCTAACCACGGATGTAAGAGCGTCGTCTTACATCGGAGATGAACACTGAAATAGAAATTAAATTCGAAGTAAGTGCTCAAAATGGCAGAGTCTCGTGCTGATAACGTGTTATAAAATAAAGACTTTAAAGTAAAGAAACCGAAGACAAGTAGAGAGAGAGAGAGAGATTTATTATTCAACTTCAAATTCATGTACATAATAAACTGAAATCTCCTCTATTTATAGAAGAAAGCAAGCTGTTGTGTAAGCTGCTACTGTACCATATATAGATAATCTTCAACTGGGGGTAATGTTTATCCATAACGGAGTACTGAAAGGATAAGCTTATTATACCAGGTATGGATAATCTTCTACCGGGGGTAATATTTATCCATAACGGAGTACCGAAAGGATAAGCTTATTATACCAGGTATGGATAATCTTCTACTGGGGGTAACGTTTATCCATAACGGAGTTTCGAAAGGATAAACTTATTGTACTCGGTATGGATAATTTTCTACCGGGGTAATATTTATCCATAACGAAGTATTGAAAGGATAAGCTTATTGTACCCGGTATGGATAATCTTCTACCGGAGGTAATGTTTATCAATAACGGAGTATCAAAAGGATAAGCTTATTGTACCCGGTATGGATAATCTTCTACCGTGGGTAATGTTTATCCATAACCGAGTACCGAAGTGATAAGCTTCTTTAGAAGGCTTATTTCCAATAGAGTACTAAATAGATAAACATATTTACGGCGGAGTCCCATATGAATAAACTTGTTCAGGAAGCTTATTTACAACGGAGTACTAAATGAGCATCCATAATATAATATATATTTATAACATATATCTCTTTTTTCTCTCTTTTGAAGATTTCTTTTCTTGTGGGGAAATTGTGGATTCCAATCCCTTTCACTCTTTTCTTTCAAACCAAACAAAATTTAATTTGAAAGAGAAAGCAATCTTTGATTACAGTCAGCAAATGCTTAACCGTTTCTACAATTGCGGCACTTTGTCCCTTTCTTATACACTTGTTTATTAGTAGTATCCTAAGTAGATTAACTTTAGCCTTTACTTACTTTATTGTCTAGAAATAAAAATAAATAAATGAACTCATCTTGCTCTGAATTTCTGGGTGAGTTATGACCCCGTTTGCTCCTTTTACTAGGCAAAAAGACCGAATTGTTTAAAGCATAAGAAATTGATATAACTTGGGAGATTTTTATTCATTTGTTTCATTCAAAAAGATTACGGGAACTCCTCTAATTGTTACTCCCTCCGGTCACTTTTACTTGACATGTATATTAAAAATAGATGTTCAATTTTACTTGGCACTTTACGTATATCAATAGAAGACAACAAATTTTTTTCCTATTTTACCCATAGTATTTATTACTCATTTCAAATCTTTTTCACAAATTCAATAAAATATGCATCAATTAATATGGGTATCATAGTAAATTATACATTTCATTTATTATTTCTTAAGGGGCGTGAAAAATCAAAATATGCCAAATAAAAGTTATCGGAGCGAGTATTTAACAAATAATAGCAATCCCACTTCTAAGTTTTAAAATATAAGCCTTGTAATCCCACTTCCTAGTCCAAAAACTGAGCTTCCGTTTCATCATAGAATTTGGTAGTCTTTTTTATATTTTGTTTTCAAATATCTGTTTATTTATAGATTTTAACTATTTTTTAGCAGATTTTAAAAACCAAATCTTCAAATCCGAAAAATAGCTCCAGAGTAGTTTTTGAAATTTTCTACTTATAAAACTTCAAATTCTTTTCAAGTAAAATGCATGTCAAAACACAATTTCAACTTTCAAAACTAATTTTTATCTTATCTTTACAAATTTATTTTTTCAAGATTCAACCAAATCTATGTCCAAACGATAGCTAAGTCGTGAAGGATAAATAAAACTTGAAGGTACTATCCAAATCTTAAATCTATTTACCCTATGTTAATATGATGTTTATATCATTATATAAGAATCTAAAATCACCACTAATAAAACAGGGTGTGATGGGATGAGTAAGCTCCTGTACTTTTAATAATCTAAAGTCTCAAATACAAGCCTGGAAAAAATGTACGTTTTGGGTACGAATTTTTTTACATGTGAATACTAAATAGTACTGTACTTAGTATAAAGTTTGTGTAATGACTAATGAGACACAAAAAGTCAAGCTTAGTTCTTATTTTGACACACTAGACTCAGTCTACATTGTAGCTAACTTCAAAGGGTCGATTTGAAACTCGAAGTAGATTTCAAGTCCTAAAGCACTTAAAAGCTGTATATTTCAAGTCCCTAATTGAAGTAGCTTCAACCCGCCTCATTTTCTTTACAAATAAAAGACGAACTATACTTAATTTAGAAAAATAAGTGCAATTTCGTGTAGGAGTGGTTAGTGTAAGTACAAACTGTTAGTTGCATTTACAACCATCCTTTCGTTCTTTCGCAAAGTAGAAATATCTAGCTGTTACTAAAGCTATTGAAATTAATTGCCAGCCTGTTAGGTTTTTTTTTTTTTAATTCACATCATATTTTGATTATCTTGAGCCGAGGGTTTATCAGAAATCGTCTTTCTACCTTCACGACGTAAGAGTAAGATCTACGTACACACCACCCTTCAAAAAAGTTTTTGAAGTTATATTGAAAAATAATTTTTGGAAGTTGAAATTGTGTCTGGACATGCATTTTATTTGATTGGAAGAAAAAATTTCAACCAAAAATTATCCTAAACTAAATTTTGAGAATTTGGAAAAAAAATCAATCTTTTTCCAAAAACTAATCATATTTTATGAACAAACAGTATTTTAAAAAAAAAATTTGAAAAAGAGTGCCAAAACCTATAACCAAGCGGGAGCTTAGATTGTCATCGCATCAAATTTCAATTGTGTTTTCAAGATCATCACCAAATATGTACATAATCGATCTAAATTAATTTAGTGTTCAGGTGTTGGTAATTGATCGGTTGATCAAAATAATCTATAAAAATGAATTAGTAGGGAAAGAGGTATCAAATCAAGAACTAAGAAACACTAACTAGTATAGAGTTGAAAACAATTGAAGTTTCTTCTTTTTTCAATGAGTATATTTTTTTTCTCAACAAAATTGCTTATGATTTACAAAACCTCCAAATAACCCCCAAAAGTTATCAAGAATAAAAAATCAGCACCCCATCAAAATGGCATGATGTGAGTAGTTTTCGTATCATAGCTAGTAGAAAGACAAGACGCCGCTTTCAAATTCACCCTAAACACTTTAAGCAAATCGGCGGCCATTTGTCTCACCGCCGGCGAACAATTACTTTGCAACAACAACAATATCTTCGCCATCCCGTTGCTCTTCGCCACCGATTCTTGTGCTTTATGATCCCGAAACAAGCAACACAAGCTCCAAAGAATCGTTACCGCATGTTCCGTTGCTTCGCTTGATACTTTCAATACTTTCTTCACTATTGCTTGTACGCAATCTCCGTCGTTACACAGTTCTATTCTCCCTTCTTTACATGTAGATATTAATTCTAACAATCTCAACACTTTATCAGTTAACCCGGTTCCTAGCTCCGCCGTGGACAGCGCTTTTCCGATCGTTTTCACCGCTCCGGCTTTTACGAGCTTCACGCGGTTTCTCCGTAGCATTGCGAGAGAAATTAAACATGAAATGGAACTTTCCATTAACGCGGGATTCCAATCGGAATTAATCGTTGAAAAACTCACTAGAACAGAGTACAACTCGGAGTTTTCTGATAAGGATGATTTAGCTTCGGAGTCTGTTGATGTGATAAACTCTAAAGCTTTCGTCATCTCAATTTTCAACTTTGAGCTTCCGTTTTTGAGAGAATTTATTATTGTCGGATATACATCGTTTGCTTTTGAGATTTTTGACGCGGAAGAGCTTCGTTCAAGCAGCATTTTCCAGAGAGGCACGATTTTCTCAACAACTTTGAGATTTTTAGGGTTGTGAACGAGGAATGAAGTGAGAATCGCAAGGAAATCACTCTCCGCGGCAATAGAAGCTACGAATCGGAGATTCTCTGGCGATTCTTCGGAGAAAGCTAAGAGTTTCGATAAGCGATCCGAGTTCGCCTCCAACTCGGTGTGAACTCGAAAGTCGCTAACAAACTGTTTGATTAGCTCGCGTACCTGATCGCGGCTGACTGAGTTAACTCGGTTTGACTCGGCGGCAGAGGCTTGAGTTCTGACCGAGTCGGACCAGATCCGGATGAGTCGTTGGAGAGTGTGGTTAGGTACAAGGTCCTTAGTTTGTAACACTTGCATGGTGGCCGGACAAGTATTATTGCCGCTGTCGAGCCACCGTTGGATGCTACTCCGGTCGTAGGTAACGCCAGTGCATAAACTCACCGGCGATTTCATCACGTCGAGAGAAATCGGGCACCGGAAGAAACTCGGCACCGTTATGTACAAATCGTCCTTACGCATTTTTTGCCTTTGAACTCTGTGTATTTTAGAGAGAGAACTGCAAATGCCCAATTTCTATTTGTTTGGTGGGTCAAGTTTTTAGAGAGAGAAAGAAATAGAGAAGAATGGGAGGTGGGGGAATGGGGAAAGAAGGGGTTTATGAAGAAGAAGAAAAAAGAAAGAGTCAAAGGAATGGTGACGTCAGATGGGAAATTCCTTTGCTTTTTATGTAGTCTTTTGCTCTTTTTTAATTACTCTTGCACTTTTATTTTTTTTAGTTTTGGAGTGTGGCGAACACCGTACAAAAAGTTATTTTAAGTTATTCTTAATAAATTAAGATAATAAAATTTTAATTACATTATTATTATTTTAAAAATTATATATCGTTCAACTTTATTTGATATTATTTTTTTATTAGTCTGTTCTATAAAGAATAATAAAGGCAGCACGGTGCACTAAGTTTTCGGTATGTGTCCGGAAGGGCCGGATCACAAGTAGCTATTGTACGTAGCCTTACCCCGTATTTCTGCAAGAGGTTGTCTCCATGGCTCGAATGCGTCATCTTCTGGTCATGTGACAATAACTTTACCAGTCACGCCACTACTCTCCTTCGCAATGGCCTATAAAGAATAATATATACTTTTATTTTCTTAATGAGAAATTTTATAGTCGCGACATGTTTAATACCACATATTTCAAATATTTTACGGATACAATGCTATGACATATTTTATATCTCATATTTTAAAAGTTTTTTTTAAAAATTTTCTGTCAAATTAAGCTACAAGAAATAAAATATAACGAAGAGAATATTATTTGTTGTAAATACTGAATATGAATAAATTTATCTAGGTGGAATGGTCAATGAGAGAAAGCTTTTTATTCAATTCAAAATGGGAAAAAAGGTAAGCACATTGGGTGTTGCAATGAGGTTCTCTTCTTTAGTGTGCTTTGCTCATCACCATCCAATTTACAACCTCCTTTCACTTTTTTCTTTCTTTACTCCATTTTATTGTTCAAATTTGGATTCCTTTCAATTTTTGTCTTATCTGGAGAATAAAAAGAAAAAGAAAAGATTAATATATTTAATTCATGGTTAAAATAGGTTTTGAGAGATAAAACTTTTATAATGTACGATTATTATATGGGTATTTAAAGTTACAGTCTCTCCCACTTGTCCATAATGATTGTACGTGCGCCATTAGTTTTAATATACAAGTTTAAGTTTATGTATTACTTGCTTATCCAATTTAGATGCTCCCTATTGCATTATCGTATCCATTACTCATAGTAGAAATTGATTCTTTTAACAAAATAGATATAATAAGAATATTATTAATACCAACATCTTTCTGAAAAAGTACTTATAAATCAGTTTCATCAAGATATAATCTTACTTTAATTAGAGTGTCCAAGAACAGAGTATTGCTAATAACATAAAAACACAGAGGGTAATAAAAGGAGTAAAACTTATAGCCTGTTTGAACAAGCTTCTAAAATCAGCTTATTTTGAGAAATACTTTTTTCCGAAAGTGTTTTTCTCACAAGTGTTTTGGTGAGAAGCAGTTTATGTTTGGCTAATTAATTTGAAAATTACTTCTCAGCAGCAATAGTGTTTGGCAAACTTTTAAAAATTGCTTCTAGATGTATTTTTTAAAGTGTTTTCAAGAAAAATGCTTTTGATGAGAAGCTATTTTTTTTTTGCTTCTCCAAATTTGCTTCTCTTACCACTCTAAAAAAAATTAAAAAAAAAAAACTTTTAAATTCTTGGCCAAACACTTCAACTTTGAAAAAACGCCTTTTTCTGGAAGAAAAAAAAAGTGTTTTTTACCTTGAAACATCTTGGGCTAACAAGTTATTACTGTAAGTAATGGGTCCAACCACCAATTGGTAAGTTAGAGATTTCGATGGGGCATTTGCATCTATACCCGTTTTTTGTGTCATGTTTTAACTTGTGCTCGCTTTGAAAAAAAAATTGCAAGCGTACCCGCTTTTTCGCATAACTTCAGCATACGGGGCTGAAGTAGCAAAGGCAATCACGCAAAACTTCAGCATTCTAGTAGCCGGGCCTGAAGTTCAGCTCTACAGCTGAAATTTTAGTTTTGTAACTGGCGAAGTTATTTGTAACTGGCGAACTTCAGCTCTAGAGCTGAAGTTTTTGTTTTTGTAACTGGCGAACTTCAACTCTAGAGCTGAAGTTTTTGTTTTGTAACTAGCGAAGTTTTTGTTTTGTAACTGGCTTATGGTTTCCGCTATTTCTGGAAATTTCTTGCTATCAGAAGCAAATCCAACCACTGAGCAAATAGTTTCTACAGCTGAAAAATGAGAAAATGAAGGTTAACTGCTAGCATTATACAATTATGACATGTCACTGAGTAACTAATCTTTCATATTACGTAATAAGCAACTGTCAAGCTAAGGATAACCACATTGCTGAATTACCAGCTCGATGATGCTATAGCTATATACTACGTTGTTGCCTATTTTGAACAATGTAGTAAATGTGACATTAAGTGTACTTTTTCTCCTCTTACTAAGCATTGGTTGTCAGTAATTGTGGTGGTAGGAGATATCAGCTCTCCTTTTTGTTGCTTTCGTTGGCTTATCCATTCTCACTATAGGGGTAACAGATTTCTTGCAGAAAAGGGAGAAGGAGAAGTTTGAGAAAGAAGAGGCGGATATAACTTTGAGGAGGAGAAGGAGGAGGAGAAAGAGGGTTAAAATTATTTAAAAAGTGGGTACAAGTTAAAAGTTTTAAAAAAAATGGGTATAGGTTAAATGGGGGCGACCAAATAAGACGCCCCGTGCAATTTTTACGAATTCAATCGGTTCAAGGAGTAAATAAAAGAATTTAACTTCTGTAACCCGATAGTCTAAAAAAATTTGACTTATTATGTCACCTAAGCAAAATTAATAATCTGTAAATAATATAAATAACTAGCTATAGAATAACACTGACAATTATTGTGTCTCATTTTCTAATATGTTATGATATATTATCAATATATATATGCAGAAATATTCTGGACCCCCTTTGAAGTTGGCAACTTTTATTTAGTTCCCTCTTAAATTTCACGTGGTCTTTAATATTTTCTTGAACCTGAAAATTCTATTGTCTTGATCCCCTAGATGCTGATGTGGTAAAGGATGTGAATACACTCTCTTTTAGGCGTGTAGAAGGGAAGAAAAATCGAAAAATCAGCTTCCAAGTGAGGTATTTTTTAAATATTAATTACCACAATCAAATGCAATAATTTATTTATTCCAATTGTATTTCTCATTATTTCTTCTTAATATATAGCATCCCGATTGTATCCTTTTTAGATACAACGAATATGTGTTTCAGCTACATATTTCTTATCTTTTTTTCCGGGTCCCAATCTATAAAAGTTAGTTGAAACTCTATTTATTTTTAGCCAAATAAAAAGAAGATTTAAACAAAATAATGAAGTTCAAATGGTGTATTTTTTACAAAAATTTCATGCAACAATTTAATTAACTTATGCGCTTTTCTTTTTCAAGTCAAATTCGCAAATATTTGATCGAGATTTTATTATTTTTAGCTAAAACATTTACTTAGACAATATATGAAGTTCCAACAACGTACTTTTTTTTAGATGCAATGATAATATGTTTTAATTGTATATTTCTTTTTTTTCTGACCAAATATGCTTGATTAAAATATTATTATCTTTAGTCAACTAAAAAATTATAGTAAACATAACGATGTTTCAAGTTATTTTTAAATAGATTTTGGCACGAAAAAAATAACTTAAATAGTTTGTAGACTTAAAAGATAAAAAAAAATATTTTATTGTTAAAAAATGCAACGTGGGCGAAAAATTCATATGGCAGTACGTGTCACACTCTCATGAATTGTCAACGTCCAAGGGATCGAGGCTACGAAATAACCAAATTTAGGGGGCTATAAAAACCACGTGAAGTTTAAGAAAAAACTAAATAAAAGTTGCCAAGTTCAGGGGATTCCGAACTATTCTGCCATATATATAATTAAAAACCCATGATCCTAGTAGAATATATTATACAAAAAGATCTAAAGAATTATCATTGAGGTAGGATGGCGCGAAGAGAGCGTGGGAGGGGACCAAATTCCCGAAGTTACAAGGAGTAGTATTATTAAGAAAGATGGGGTCGTGGTCAAACTTATGTGGGGCCTAAAATTGGTAGGGTAGAGAAACTATGATATTTGAATTTTAAATAAAATAAAAATCCGCACGGTGCATTAAGCTTCGATGTGTGAAATCCTTAGAAGGGTCAGGCCACATATTTGAGTAAGTTACATGTTTGATCGACTGACCAAAAATAATTACATCTATTAATCAAATATACAAAAGATATACATCTAACTTTTAACTTAAAAATAATTGTTGGGTGTATAACATATGTATAATTTTTATATAAGATACGTATAATCGTGTATAGTTATTTATAATTTGGCTGAGAAAAATAAATAATGAATTTGGACGATTATTTTTGTAAGAATCCCTAGAAAATATGCATATTATATATTAATATATAAAATATATATTTTACCAGTTATTATTTTCGTGCGCAACTGTACAGTATAATTTTCTCATGATATTTAGGTGACGATACACGTTGGGTGGGATTGGATTAGGTTCTCTTAGAAATTGTTGCGTATGATGAGGAAAAGGAACGTGGGCTTAGCGGGCCCCACGTACAAGTGGACAACTTAATTTTAGTTTCTACTGGGCCCCAATGTTTGGGCCCAACTAATTGTTCGCTTGGTCGGTTCGTGACACAAAACGCACGGCTGGTGATTTGCTTTTGGTATAACATAATTGGCCCTTTAGAATTAGACGTATCTCGTATTGTCACTTTGGTCAAACCTTTTCCCCCTTTTCCCTCCACTTTATTTGTCCTTTTTATATGTTTTTCACCTTTTTAAGAAGAAAAAAAAAAATATATATTTCGTCAATTTTCTTTTTATAACTAATTTTTTATATTGAAACAGAACCGCCTACTACTTCAATACCTAAATGAATTACAAAAGAAAGGATTGTAAAAGGAAAGTTAACATATATACACTAATCGTGTAAAAAACAAATTACAGTAGCAACTTAGTGTAATTTGTTAGAGCAAATAATTTACTTTATTTTTTTAAGT